TGAAAAAATAATAATTTATAAATTATCAAGGGTTCATGAGGGAGGGGGGAGGGGGGAGGGAGGGGAAAAAATGAGGAGCTGATGCCAGGGGCTTAAGTGGAGAGCAAATGTTTTGAGAACGATAAGGGCAATGAATGTATAAATGTGCTTTACACAATTGATGTATGTATGGATTGTGATAACAGTTGTATGAGTCCCTAATAAAATGATTTAAAAAAATTTTTTTTTTACTTCTAGAAAAATTTTATAGTCAAGTTCTGCAGTAAACCTCAGTGAGAAATACAGCACTGAGAGCTAGTTTTCCGAGCAAATATTTTCCTTGCATATTTAATATTAAGGTATGTGAAATTACCCAATACATACATTAAACATTAATAATTTATACCTATTTATATTTCTCCCTCCTGACTCGACTGTAATTTTGCCTAGTTCACTAATTAAGAAGTGATAGATCATAACTCAACATATTGTTGTCAGCTGCTATCAAATTGGTTCTGGTCTCTCTTGATAATGTGTCCAAAGTACTATATGAGAAAAAGCCTTGCCATACTCACTAGTAAGAAGCATCCTGGATGTACTTATGATTATTCTCCAATATTCTTTGCCGGTATCATAATTCTAATCTTCTCCAAACCCATTCCCATCAAGTCCATCTATACTAGAGCAGACAACCTGGTCTTTCTCCCACCGATCGGTGGGTTCAAAATGCTGATCTGAGGTTAGTAGCTCAGTAAGTAACCCACTATGCTACCAGGTTCCTAACTGTTCTTCTGTCTTCTTTAACTGTCCAACTTCACATACAAGAGGCAACTGAAAATACCAAAACTTACAAGCCCACCTTAGTCCTCAAAGCAACACCTCATTACTCTTTAAACTTTAAAGAGCACAATGCTCAGTACAATACTTTGATTTCTAGATTGCTGTTTCCTAAGTACTGACTGTGGTCCAAAGTAAAATGAATTCCTTGACTTCAATCTTTTTCTCGTTTATCATGATGCTGTGTATTGGTCTAGTGAGGATCTTTGATTTCTTTATACTGAGTTGTAATCCATACTGAAGACTGTAGCCTTTGATCTTCATCAGTGTTTCGAGTTATTCTGGCTTTCAGCAAGCATAATACAATCTGTTAATGAGTCTTCCTCCAATCTGACACCATGTTCTTCATATAGCCCAGTCTCTCAGGTTAGGTGCTCAGCACTCAGATTGAATATCTATGGTGAAAGAATACATCTTGGAAAAAAAAAAAAAAAGAATACATCTTGGATGCACGTCTTTTCTGATTTTAAGCCATGCAGTTCCCTTGTACCGTTGGAAAAACTACCTCTTGGTCTGTGTACAAGCTCTATATGATCACAACTGCTCTGCAAGCCCCATATTTTGCAATGTTATCTGTAGTTTGTTATGATCCACACATTTCACACTCAAATGCTTTTGCAGTCAATAAAACACAAGTAAACATCTAAGCCAAAATATTCCTGTCTCCATATTCTTCCCCCAATCATAAAGAATTGTTATTAGGTGCCATCAAATCAGTTCTGACTCACAGTGACCACAACAGCATAAAAACCACCCAGTTTATTGCCCAAACTAAGCCCTCTTTATTTGCTTTCTCCAGCTATTCCATCTGCTTATATTCTGGAGCCCTGTGATTCTTCCCAAATCCCTTAAATGTTTACTTCAACCCTCTATCATCTCTAATCTCTTTATTCCTTACATTTTCTTTTCCTTAAAAAAAATTAGCAAATTCCTACTAATATGGCCTGAGATGGAGTACACAACCAGTGGCCCCACTTACTAACGTGTATTTAATTGGGAACCTTCAGCAATCTCCCTTCTGCATCCATCTTCATAAAGAAACTACACTCTTGGTGACCTGGGCTTGGGGCTGGGACAGGCTATAGAGAGGATGCCCTTTGTGCATGCCCACCACTGTCCACAACAGCCCCTCCTGGTGCCCAGACAGGGTAGGACAAGAGCCTACAACCTGGAGGCTGGCAGGGTGGCTAGGTGTGTGGCACATAAGGCACCACCCTTGTTTGGACCCAGCTGTGCCCTACTCCTCCTCCTTCATCACAGGGCTCTCTACCCACCACCCCAGGATCAAAAACATCCCCAGCTGAGAGGTCACACTAATTGTATCACGTTGGTCGGAGGCTGCATAGTGCACAGTGAGGATTTCTGAGGACTCCTCCTCCCTCAGTATCTTCTTGGCCATCATCTTATTTCCATTTGGGTTCATCTCCATTGAGGAAGCCTTGAGAATGCCTCAACTGTGGAGTATTCTTTTCTTTTTTTTTTTCTTTTTTAACATTTTATTAGGGGCTAATACAACTGTTATCCCAATCCATACACACATCAATTGTGTAAAGCGCATTTGTACATC